GCGCCCGCACAACCCCGGAAGGGGTCTTCGTGGAGGGCTAATGGTTGGTGGAGGGCTCCCAGGTGCAGGTAGTTTTGCCTTTTCACCCTCCGCTCTCCTTCATCTGGCAGCCCTGAAAGGGTCTTGAATGGCGGAAGAGGCTTTGATCCATACCAAAGAAGAAAAAACGGACAGGGAAACATGGGCAGGGATCGTCGGATCGACGTTAGTCACATTGTCGCCGTCGGCGACAATGTGACTAACTAATGTGCCAATGTAACTAATCGGGGGTCGTGCCTTCGACAGGTCGACCATCGTGTTCTCCTCACAAAGCTGCAGTGCTATGGCGTTGTTCACCTCACGTACCGCTGTATGCCAGCCTGTCGCCGGGGCGCCCCGGACAGCGTCAGGCGCCTTTGGGGCTGCCAGCTTTCCGCCTGTCGGTGGAGGACCACGGTCTTGTCGCGTCATGAGTTGTTATCCAGGAGTCGTCCATCGTCGTCCGTCACTGCTCGGCACAACTGCAGGAAATTGACTGTGAAAGTCAGGGTGTTTACAGGGTATTGTAATGACATTGTTTGGCAGGTGATGTTTCATATTTTTGGAAGTGTTCTGCTGTGGCGGCGTTGTTATTAAAAGGAGTTTGTCCATCGCCGTCCGTCACTGCTCGGCACAACTGCAGGAAATTGACTGTGAAAGTCAGGGTGTTTACAGGGAGTTTGTAATGACATTGTTTGGCAGGTGATGTTTCATATTTTTGGAAGTGTTCTGCTGTGGCGGCGTTGTTATTAAAAGGAGTTTGTCCATCGCCGTCCGTCACTGCTCGGCACAACTGCAGGGAATTGACTGAGAAAGTCGGGGAATTTACAGGGAGTTTGTTATGACATTGTTTGGCGTATGATGTTTTATATTTTTGGAAGTGTTCTGCTGTGGTGGCGTTGTTATTAAAATAAGTGCACGGCTGTGGTTGCGTTGTTGTTTTTTTAACTTTTGTACGGTCGATTTGTATCGAATCAAGCGATAATCCACCTCTTTGGATGACTCGTCAATAAAATGATCTAAACTGAACTACGTATGATGGACCTCAAGCCAGAGTCGTTGAAACCACGTGATAACGCTTATCGCGCCCAGGTTGATGCTGTCTGCGTGATGCTGCCTTAACGCTTTTTCAGACACAACACGAATATTTCATGCCGACATGAACATTTCGCAGTTTGCGGCAGATGCCAAACGTATGACATCCGAATGGAACACGCGTAAGCTAAGAAATATTTGTATCGCGGTGTTTTAAGATGCGAAAATTATTGTGGAAGCCTGAACCTGCTCGTAATTTTTACTTCCAGCCACATTTGTTCGATATGGTACTCAGGTCACGGCGTTGGCTAGGATGGATTCGGCCTCGGCTGTGGCTCGATGTCCTCCAACTTTCCTCGGAGTGCCCTGTCCTCACGGGCGGGCGGCCGCTCATCAGAGCACTGCCCCACCGGTCGGGCCGGGCCGGGTTGGTCTGGAATGTGAGTCCGCCGGTGCCCGGGCGGAGCCTGGTCCGGTGGTCCGGTGGTCTTGGTCCTGGTCCGTCGGTGCCTGGTCCGGCGGCTTGGTGGGTGGTGCGTCGACCTACCTAAGCCGGTCGCGGGTTGAAATTGCCGTGTTGCGTCGCCCCGGCTGGGCTTCCTCACGTCCACGAGGTTCTGATATTCCACTAGCCAGACTGTGTGGAACGTGCCGGGGCCACGTGGGCCACTTTGGAACGCCTGGTCCGGGCTCTGTATCAAAGCTACTGAGGTCAAGGCGAGAGTCGTCTCCGACTGTGTACTTGATGCTGGCTTTGGAAACACCGCGTCGACCACTGTGGTTCGCAATTGGGACATCGCAAGCGGTCCGGCCAAGCTCAGTGGGGACATCCAGGTCAGTGATCTGGGACGGTTTCATCTCCAGGGTGGCCTGGCTCGAAGAACGTTAACAGCCGCGGCTGGATTGCACATAAGCCAGCCACGGCAAAGGTGCGAGAACGGTTAGCCTGGCTTGCTGTATTGGCATCATCGCTGATAGATCCCACTTGGTGCGAATGATGAGCTCGCACTCTGAGTCAAGGTTTCCGAATCCACACCGAGGCCCCGTTTTGATAAAATAACGTGTGTCGAAAACGTAGGCGTAAATAAAAAAACAGTAGATATTCAGTCTTAAATTAACGTGTAGTAGCCAAGGCGGCTGAAACCAGCAGGCGAGCAATGGAAAATCACGAGACGCGGGGGGCCACGCGAGGCGCATGCTGGATGGAAGTCTCCAATGACGTCACGTCAACGCTGAGCAGACGTGGCGCTAAAACTGCCGGACAATCCTACTTCCTTATACCGCCTTGATCCGGCCAGATACGGCGTCGTCCTGCTTGAGCACGTGCTGCGGGTTGGGGCCGTGGGGCGTGCGTCCGTGGATCTGATTTTCTAGTGAACCTGTAATACACTGCAGCGTCTTCGAAACGACTAGGTATGTGCTTAGTCTATGTCTTTGCCTTAATATTTACGAGACAGATTGCTGTTCGTACGGTTTTATTCAGTCGTAGCTTTTGAGGGTTACATTCTAGGTGTCGCCGGCCCAGGCCTCTCTTCTTAAAACGTCCTAAATCAACTACGTCTAGCTTGTAACTCGTACAAAATGGACAGCATTGGATGAAACAGGCATTGATGAGTACCTCCTGGTACCCTCATAAAGCTACATGTGCCATAAATGACAGTAAATAACTTTTTCCCTTTTGTCTGTTGCCATTCACGTGGCTATGTGGTGCCGAGTAAAGGTGATAAGAGCTGTTCTGAAAGGGTCTGCTGCAACTTCTGATACCACTGTTGAATAATTTGCATATTAGGTGTAGTTGGTTAAGACTATCACACTTGTCACACTGCTGCTTACCATGCTATAAGTAGATAGACTAAAGTAAAGTTAAATGTTAGTGAAAAAGAAGGCTAAGCTAGAAACTCTCCTGTGCTCTTGCTGGTGTGCTGTTCTGACTGCCAAAATGATGACAACAGCTCAAACAGAGCCTATGAAATTTTACCTTTCCTGCAATATTTTCAGTACTTTTTGAGAGGGTTGTGGCATTGTCTGTTTAGTGCAGCCATGTAAGTCCAGCCTGAAAAAAAATAATCCTCTGCATTGTATGCACTTTAGTGATATGGGCTTATTGATCCAGGAATATGTCTGGCAAAATGAGATAGTGCAATGTCTAGCTGGATTTTTTCACTTTGCTTAAAAAATGTTCTGGTTAGTTATCCTGGATTTGCACAAGCAACATCATACTATATGTTGAACATCATGTTGTTCTTTGTGCCCTAAGACAGTACTTATTATATGCCAAAATAGTAGCAATTATGAATTAAATGAAGGCTCTCAGATTTATGGCTTGCATGTCCTGGAATTGTTGCATAGACAATTTATTATGCTTGACATGTTAGCATTAGGGGCAATTTACTGGTTTATTTTATACCTACAATCCATTACACAATCTGTAATGTCAGACCTGATTTTGTCTGAGAGTGAGGGGTCAAATCATCAGAGGTCAAGTGCTGGCAAACAGGTCCAATGGTTTATACTGTGTCTGACCTGTGACATATGTGCTGGCAGCAGGTATTTATTTAAAGTGATCATGCATCAATTTGACAAACATCATTATCCTGTGGAAAAAAATTGTGTAATCATTTGTAGTGAATTTCTTAAGTCAAGATCACACCAGGTCAGGTAACCATGCCTGACCACTGCCAGACACATTACTCATTATTACTATTACTCCTGGATGACCTGAGCACAAAGGTTCTTATCATTACTGTAAACCAATATCCAAGTTTAAAAGTGGTAATTATTGATAGTTTATTGCCTTATATACAATATTGCATAGTTCAATGGGGTTAGATATTACCTGAGTGGCACCTTGCCCATACCCTTTTAACACATGTTTCCAAAAGAGACAGAATCTGAAGAAAGCTACATTTGCAACTTAAATTTTAGTTTTAACCTGGATGCCCTTTTTAGCCTTTAATTTTAGGATCAAAAGAAAAACATGTCACTCATACCAGTAGTTAGTCAGCTACTTACCATGATATAAACACCACTTCTGGTTAAATTCTGTCCCTGTCTTGTAGTAAGCCTAACCTTTGGGTTGCAGGTACACATACAACTCATATCTGGAGAAATCAGTCTCAGAGAGACAGCATGCTGCTCTTGCAGCATGCTAGTGAGATGCCTGGAGCAGTTCAGTTAGATGCTGACCTGGCTTGTGTCATATGCATGGGTCATTGTGGGTTCATCAAACTGCTATGCTCATAGGCATGCTACAGTTCCACTCACCATATGGGAGCAAGTGGGAAAACATGTCATGACAAATCTCACACCCAAGGCCAAGGACCGGTTGCAGCACCTCCAAGCCGCGACGTCCGCGTGTCTGCATCTGATCAGATCGTGATCGTGATCAGATATCTGATCAGATCGTGACTGTGATCAGATATATGATGAGATCGTGATCAGATATCTGATCAGATCGTGATCGTGATCAGATATCTGATCAGATCGTGACCGTGATCAGATATATGATGAGATCGTGATCAGATATGTGATGAGATCGTGATCAGATATATGATGAGATCATGATCGTGATCAGGCATCTGATGAGATCATGATCGTGATCAGGCATCTGGTGAGATCGTGAACGTGATCAGATATCCGATGAGACCGTGATCGTGATCAGACTATCTGATCAGATCGTGACCGTGATCAGATATCCGTCCATAGTCTGTGACCCATGTCCGCTCTTATCTCCAGACGTTCGTCCCCGCCCCGGGCGTGCTGCACACGGCGACCTCGCCGCAGGAGCTGCTTATCTAGAGGAGCACCGGTGCCCTGCGGTCTGCACGCGCGGCCCGGCGACATGGCGGCGACGTTCGGGATCACATCGGGGCGACGACCATTCGATTGCCGTGAGCGCCGGCGGCCGGGTGGAGGTGCTGGCCAACCCGTCCGGCGAGCGGTCACGCCCGCCGTGGTGCGCTACATGGAGAATGAGGAGGTGAGATGCGGTGTGGGGGAAGGTGAGATGCTGTGTGTGAGGGGGTAAGATGCTGTATGGGAGGGGATGATGTCCTGTGTGGTAGGAAGTGAGATGCTGTGTGGGATGAAGCAAGATGCCATGTGGGAGGAGGCAAGATGCTGTGTGGGTGGATGTGATTTGTTGTGTTTGTGAGGGGTGTGGCTGTATGTGGAGGGGGTGGGGCTGTGTGGGGGACGGTGGTGTGGTTGTGTGGTGTGTGAGGGGTGTGGCTGTATGTGGAGGGGGTGGGGCTGTGTGGGGGACGGTGGTGTGGTTGTGTGTGTGTGTGTGTGTGTGTGTGTGTGTGTGTGTGTGTGTGTGTGTGTGTGTGTGTGTTGTGTGTGTGTGTGTGTGTGCGTGTGCGTGTGCGTGTGCGTGTGCGTGTGCGTGTGCGTGTGCGTGTGCGTGTGCGTGTGCGCGTGCGCGTGCGCGTGTGTGTGTGTGTGTAGGGGATGGGCTGTGGTTGTGTGGCTGTAAGTCGGAGGCGTGTGACTGTGTGTGAGAACAGATGAGGATGCATGGGTGGATGTGAGGCTGTAAGTCGGAGGCGTGTGACTGTGTGTGAGAACAGATGAGGATGCATGGGTGGATGTGAGGCTGTGTGAGGTGATGAGCTTGCGATGGGAGTCACGACTGTAGGCGAGTGGCCGAGAACAAGTCTGTGATGAAATAAAACCATTTGTTTAAGAGAGTGCGACTGCAAGGACACTGCACCACAAGCCACCGCATCTGTCCATGCTGCCACACTGAGGTGGGCGAGGCGCTGGCAGCTCCGCCGTAACTGGCTCTCCGGCCGCCAGGTGGTGGGCACGGCAGCCAAGCAGGGCTCGGTGCGGCACGCGGCCGTGACGGCGGCGCGCGCCCGCTGCCTGCTGTCGGCGGACGACCGCCAGGCGGCGCTGCAGTCGCGCCTCTGTCCGGCGGACGCGGAGCGCGGCTTCCTGGTGCGCCGCGAGGAGGGCGCCGAGCAGGTGCACTCGGCCACGGACGTGCTGGTCACCCTGCTGAAGCACCTGCACGACGTGGCGCAGCGACAGGTGGGGGCAGGCCCTGTTGTGCCCAGTCTCACGTACCGACGGGGCGTTTCCCCGTCTGGTGGGATTGAACCCCACAGCAACTTCGCTTCTGGGCCTCTGCCCTCCTGCTTCACACTGCCTGTTAACTCTCACAGTGTTCACTTTCTGCTCTAACCCCCCCCCCCCCCCCGGCTCTTCAACACCACCATTGCATTGTGGTCCCCGTCTTCCGCCGGGGAAGTTGGCGGGAGAGGTTCGGACGCTGAATGATCTAGTTTGTTGGTTGCATCGCCGCTTAACCTCAATAACGGCGATGCCCACACGCGGCCAGTGGAGTGCGACCTTCGGCGCCGGCAGCCCGCTGACCGCCGGCTCCCGACGACCGCCAGGTGGGCCTGGACCAGACCCAGTTCGACTCGGTGCTGGCCGTGCCGGCGTACTTCTCGGCCGACGAGCGGCGCGCGCTGCGCGAGGCGACCGAGGCGGCTGGCTTCCACGTGCGCCAGCTGGTACTAGAGCCGGTGGCGGCGCTGCTGGCGCACGGCGTCGGCCAGGCGCCGGACGAGGCCGGCGTCAGCGTGTGTCTGGTGGTGCGCGCCGGCGGCGCCACCTCCGACGCCAGCGTCCTCCGCTCGTCGTCAGGCATGTACTCGCTGCTGGAGACCGTGCACCGGGCCGACCTCGGCGGCGACGCGCTCACCGACCTCGTGGCCGACTTCCTGGCCGCCGAGTGCACGGCCAAGTGGAAGACGGACCCGCGCGAGTCGCGCAAGGCGCTCGCCAAGCTCCGCTCGGCCGCCGAGGTGGCCAAGCACGTGCTCTCGTCGATGGCGACGGGCGCAGTGCTACGTCGAGTCGCTGCTGGACGGCGTCGACTTTGGTTGTCAGGTGACGCGCGCGCGGCTGGAGAGCGTACTGGCGCCGGCGCTGCAGCAGTGGGTGGAGCTGGCGCGTGCCGCCGTCGCCGGCGCCGGCGTCGACGCCGTCGACCGGCTGGTGCTGGCCGGCGGCGCGGCGCGCGTGCCGCGCCTGCAGCGGCTGCTGGCGGCCGCCTTCCCGGCGGCGCGGCTGCTGGCGGTGCCGGCGCTGGACGAGCTGCTGGCCGAGGGCGCCGCGCGCCAGGCGGCGCTGCTCGGCCAGCAGCCGCCGGACGAGCGGCCACAGACGGTGGCCGTCGCCGCGCGGCCGCTGTTCGTCCGGTTCGGCGCGGCGGCCGGCGGGCTGCTGGCCGTGCCGGCCGGCGCTCCCGTGCCGTCCGTGCACACCGTGGAGCACGTGACCGAGGCGGCCGGACCGCTCCAGGTGATGCTGGAGGAGGGCGCGCCCGAGGGCGAGCGCACGCCGCTGGCCAAGATGACGGTGAGCCGGCCGGCCGGCGCCCGCCTGCTGGCCACGCTGGTGCTCCGCCGTCAGCAGGGGCTCAGGCTGCGGCTGGCCGACGCCCAGACCGGCCAGGCGCTCGTGGCTGACGTGCCCGCCTGCGGGTGACGTCACGGGTCGCGGCGTGGACAGTGACGCGGAGGGTGACGTCACAGTTGCGAAGGGCGAGCTAGGCGACGGCGGTGTTGGACGTCTCGGTCATTGGCGGTTGCGTCGCGGCGACGTGGCGTGGTGTCGCCGATGTTTGGTGACGTCGCGGCGGTGGAGGTGTCCGGCATGATGGAGAGGGGACTGGCAATCGGTGCACGGCACGCGGAGCCCCAGCGGCAGGCTGGCGACAGGCTTGTGCGCGGAAGAAGGCACTGCTGACTGTGTGGATGAGCGCTGATGTGGGGGGGGGGGGGGGGGGGAAATGGCCCGCTGGTCGTCGATTGGGTATTTCAGGACGTGGTGTGGACAAGCTGGCTTCGGTTGCGTGCTGTTTCGGCATGGGCGCCAGCTCCGCTGTTGTCGAGCTCCCCGCAGAAATTAAGCGCGTGGCAAAGTGTTGTAATACACAGATGTTTGACGTGGCGTGCGTCCTCCAGCGTTCGGACGTCGCGGCCTGTCCGCCGCGGTACCCACGCTCGGGGTTCGGTGTTTGCGCGCTGGAGGTACGCACCTTCGCCGCCCGCGACCCGTCCCCGGGAGCGTTTGCTGTTAAGTGTATTGTGCAAAGCGATGCAGGGGCCATCTCGCACGCGGGTGTCGCTGCACCCGGCGGGTGCCGCTACACCCGGTGGGTGTCGCTACACCCGGTGGGCGTCCGGTGGTCACTTGCGCACAATCACACAGCAGGATCCTTAGTGACCAGCTTTTGTCGAAGCTGCATCAGAACCTGGGTCAGCGTCCTATCATGTATTTCTGCGTCGCCTCTCCGCCTCTTCCAGTTTGGAGCTTCAAGACTGGTGCGAGGCGAAGCAAGGCACTTGCGAGGCAACGTACTACAAAACGGTACAAAAAGACCCTTCACAATAATGCGTTTGCCACATCAACGAGGGAGTCATGGCAACAACGTGGCCACATTCATTGGCTGGAGTCGCTGTCATTCGCAAGCATCGGAAGAAGCTGAAGACAATACACAGAGCGTGGTGTGAACGAGAACTCCTCGATGCATGCACGTGCAATGGCGCGGCTGTCGCTTCTCAAAACGCCCGGCAATGTACAACACAATAAAGTACCACCGAAATTTGAATGCGACCTTCGGTCAGCGAACACGTCCTGGCGAAAGGAGCATGTCAACAATATCGCCAGCAAATCAGGGACCTTTGAAAGACTTAAAATGGCGTGCAAACGCAAAAGAATGCGTAGACTCGAATCCATTACTGACACGGGCGCAAGCGGCGCAGCCCGGGGCGGAGGCTAATGGGGGCCTCCCCCGTCAGGTTCGAGCGCAGTGCCTACTTAGGCGCGAATAAATGCAAGTCGGAGTTTTGGTGACCATGAAAACTGATGGTTTTCATCTCAATACACGCCAACATGACGCCACACGTGAGTCAGCAGCCGTCATTTAGTAACACGTCTCTGATGACCGAGCTGGTACGTAGGATACGCAGCTGACATAATAGTTCGAGGCAACAGAACAAAATAACATACGTACGTCATCGATGCGCTAGATGCCGTACCTATAATCGTTTTTTGAGTCTGCTAGTATCTCCGAACTGCGTAGTTACCGTCAATGTGGCTGGGATCATGATAGCCCTCTCCCGTTACAGATTCTGGCCGCGCCGCTGCGGTCACATATATTATGAGACATGATATATCAAGTTCCCGCATCCCTGGTACAGAACGGCACAGAGATCGAATAACCTGATCTACAAATATCTTGATCATAATGGGCAGACACAGGCAGCGCAATCTGCTCGCCCCGAACGCTACATTCGTAAGATAAGAACAATGGCTCTCATCCAAACCCCGCCAGCGAGACGAGTCGAATTCCTACACAGAAAAACGCATGTAAACTACGTGCGCCAGCCCGCTCACCCCTCCTAGAGTCCGCTCTCGGAACTGCGAGGCTACAGAGGCGGGGGTCAGAGCCATCGCGTTCTCACCCATACCGCACCGGATAGCATGGGTGTCCGGCTTCGACAGTTGGTTTCTCGGCTCTCGACGCATAGACCACGTAGTCATTTAACTCCCACCCACCCACCACCCACCCACTTCTTAGGGAAGGGGTGGCATATGAGGTGTACAAAAGAAGTCCCTCTGCCACGAAAACCTGAAGCCTCGATGCATAGAAAGCTGCTCATTGCGGACACCAATAGTAGCCTTGTCGGCAACGCACTCCACACCTGTCGGCGTCTCGCAAAGCTCTGCTTGTGTTCCCACCAACAGGTGGCACCAGTATCCCTCGGACGCAATACCCAGCGTCAGGACCACCGATGTCTCTGGACGCAGAGGCTGCCGCTACAAGCCCAGCCCACTCCGTCAGCATCGCCGACAGAAGCAGAGGCACGAGCTGACAACAGACGCGCTGGTGATCGCAGTTTTCCTAGCATGATAGCACAGGCCACCCTGTGTTCATATCGACGCCACAGGGCACAGGTCACCCTGCGTCCATATCGACGCCACAGGGCACAGGTCGCCCTGCGTCCATATCGACGCCACAGGGCACAGGTCACCCTGCGTCCATATCGACGCCACAGAACAAAGCCGTCCATTCACCGGTGCGAGAGACAAAGTCTGCTGGCACACAGTTCGGCTATGCCCGTCACGAAGATCGACACGATGAAGAGGATGTAGGAGACGCCGACCGTGTAGCTGGGCGGCAGCTGGTAGGCCACGCTGCCGATCTCGGCCATATGGAAGCCCGCCGGCAGGATCACCGCAGCCAGACAGAGAAAAATCACTGATGGAAGAGGGCAACTAGTCAGTGCCTACTGGTCAGTGCGTAACTAGTCAGCACAGCTAGTGCTGGCAACTATTCTTTCCTTCACCACTTAAAAATTGCATGAGCCTGAAAGAGGGGCGACACGATCAAGCACGAACTAATATCTAGTCTCATGCCAAGCCAAGAGAATGAACAGGGACTAAGATCCAGCCCGGAAATGTGTAAAAGATCCTGCGAGAACCAAGATCAAGCCCAGCATCATGTCAAGGGATCCAGCCAGAACCGAGATCCAGCCTAGAACATGTTGAGATCCTGCAAGTACCAATAAACAGCTCAAGATGAAGCTGAGATCCTGATCCTGATCAAGTATTCAGGCATCTTTTTTCGCTTAAGAGTACCATCATGTAGCATGACTTTTCAGCCCGTGCAACAGTGGCTGGTGCCGGCGGGCGCGGCGCCTCACCGGCGGCGAAGCCCAGCCAGCGGGCGGCCAGCTGGAACTGGCTGCTCCAGTGGCCCAGCACCAGCGTCAGCAGCGTGCTGGAGACGCAGAGGCAGCTGCACAGCAGGCAGACCAGCGCCACCAGCCACTCGGCGCAGAGGCGCGGAACGAAGCAGACCTCGGGCCGGCCGCGCGTCGTCTGGCACGACCACAGCAAACCCAGCCGGATGCTCCCTGTGTGGACGACAGAGCAGTCTCAGTGGTTAGTGGTGAGACATGGTGGCTGGCCAGCATCAGTTCTGCACTGAGTAGAAGACAGATGTCAATGCAGAGACAGGAGTTAAAAATATCATTCTTGTGACAATGTCTTGCTTTAAAAATCAAGATTGACCATCATAACAATCATATCACCAAAGCAATAATCCCGAGGCAACTGGATATTTATCAAAATAAACCAACTTGTCACGAAACACTGCACTCATTCATACAGGCCTTCATGGAAATGGTCATTATTGACTGTTGAACACCATTCATGCACCATAATGCAATGAGGGCTTAGTGGTATTGATCTAGCCTGGCCTGCACAAGTTCCATTGAAACAATCCTGCAATATCTTAGGACAATCACAGTGAATGGTGAACAGGACAGGCTGGGCACCACAAATCATTGTCATGTGCATGCAAAAAATGGAAAAATCATCAGTGCTCCATAAGGACTTGCTTATATCCATTACAAAGTATAGGTACTGTGTGCAAACTACAGTCATAAAGTAGCAAACCATCTTTATTTTTTACATATCTTGGCTTATGCCTACATGGCAGGTTGGCACCTTAACACCTTAAAACTAGCTTTCATCAATTTAGTCTAAGCATTTGAGCTGCCTATAACTATTTTTTAACAATTTAGTCTAAACATTTAGATAGGATATATTTCAGCAATCAGAGCTTGCACTAAGCTGTGCTCAATGTCTGGACTTTGACCCATCATTCAATCAAGAAGCTTCAATTCAAGGGATTAATTTTGGGGCAAGTGTTAACTTTTTGCAAGAACTGACATGGTTTGCCTACTCTGTAACTTTACATGACCTGCAGTGAGCTCTTCCACTGTGAGCTATGCTATGAGCTATGAGCTAAGAGTCAGCTGCAGGTCACTCTGTCTATGAGCAAATGGCACTGAAGCAACTCAAACCCACCCACCTTGCCACACATAGGATGGCAGGCGGATGCTTTTACTGACTGAGCTACACAGGGGTGCACCTAAAAGAAGAAAACCTTCAGCTTCTGGGTCTTCAACACTGGGTTCAAAATTTTTTATGCCGAGTTGTTTGCCTCCAATTTCTAGGATCACAGGTCCATGTTAAGTAGTGCTCATCATATGAGCCCTGACTCTTATGGTCTGATCCTGCAATTCCAAGCAAGAGCAGATCTTGGTGGCAAAATTTTACAGATATGTAGTGCTTAGCATGACCATCTGACATAACTTGAACTATAGAGCAGCTGTTGCCACAGCCCACAGACCATACCTGTCTGGGCCAAATAGTGATCACCTAATGCAACCCAAACCTGCCCCACCACAGATGTGTGGATTGGAAGGCAGGTGTTCTAACCAACAAAGCCACAGGGATGAACTAATCCTATGATTATGATATTGAATGGTCTTGGAGAATGACCACAAAATAAAATGTGAAACACCACAACTAAAACAATTGTTTATCACTACAGCATTGCTTAACCTGTGCCTCCTGGCATGCTGAAGGTCATTAACATTCCTGCCATGTTCAGCTTTTTCCATTTACAACTAGCATTAAATGGCATACTCAGAAATCCATCGACAGTATCAAAGAAATGTGAAAAATCAGGACTTGACCCCTTTTGCACAAGTCTTACCTCCAATGTCAGACACAATCCAGTCAGGTGTAGCGATGCTCACAATAATCAAAACGTGGACGATCAGAAAAGTCGCAAATGCTACCAGACTTATCTTGTCCATCATGCACGCTATGATATATAACCTATAGTATTCCGTTCATGCCATTATTGTCATCGGAAATCTATGACCCATCTTCCCATTTTGTGCCGTTTGCTGGACTCGTCTCTGCTGCGGCTTTACTCGACTACAAATAAAGGAATTGAGCGGCACTGAAATTGGTAAGGCATGAACAGAAAACAATTTGAGCGCTTTATTTTCATAATTAAAAGGCATGTGATTTGAATTTACATTACATTCATGGAGTGTCACGCCTCTCGATCACACAACATCCGACAATCATATTTTCATCATCTTATCTTACTGATCAAGTCGTATAGTTATTTTGTACCTTGATGTGCCGAAAATGAATCCAAAAAGGCAGTCGATAAATATTTTATGAATAGAGTAGTCAAATATAAATTTACATGTTGGCTTTTGACAGATAAATACACCGAAATCGCCGGAAAATAAAGTATTTTTCACAAGGAAGGTCTTATTATCTTATTCTAAAGTGACGGATTTGCGACGAAATCGTCGAATGGTCACTCGTGAGCATCAAGTGACTTTTGAAAACAAGCACGCAGTGCGGGCGCGGGAAGCGCGTGTCGCGCTTAGGTAGTTTCTGTGATTGCTTACCCTAAATGAGAGGGGAAAGGACTCGGAACTACTCCCTTGTTTGTATATGTCATCAGTTTCGTTTTATATCACTGGCTACCGAGTGTTATTGAGCCTGCTGAAGAGTTTTTTCAGGACGTGAAGCGACAACTGAGTGCCAGAATACCAAACAGCATAAACACGTAGTTTCTGCATTTGGTCCATGACGCTGGTACGTAAATGGGTCTCAGTGCTTGCACATGGGAATGAGATGGTTTTTGATGTGAGTGGCATCACCAATTATTTTACTTAAGCCGTAAATGTCTCGTCTTCTATGTCCGGATTACATAAAATAGATGTACTGCTGGACATCTCTGCTTACGATGACATAAGGGCAACATTTTTTAGAAGTGTTCTCTTTGCAGCATTTTTAGCACTGCAATTTTTCTGCACACTGTTCAAGGGAATTGTAGTGTTGTAGAGGTAATTCCAAACAAAAATATTGTGACAATTTTTCAAGCAAATATGATAAAAAAGTTTGGCACAACAAAGCCTGGCTATGGTGAGCATGTGCACCAGGCTCATTTACTATGTCATCTGGGTGTTGGGTGAACCTGATTTTTCCTCACCAACACAATGCTGCCTAACATGGACTGCTTTACAGTCATTATGTAGAGTAAAGTATGTATTGAGTGTAGTAGAATCTAAGCTGGTGTTATGGGCAATATATAGAACCATGTTTTCTCAGTGTGGTGTGCTAGATCTGCTTTTTTGATGTTTTGTGTTCAATTTATGGATTTTGTTTGCAAATTTTCATATATTTTGGGGGGTAAAATATATCATCAAACATGATTTGTATAATTTTTGCTTGTTGTTTGCCCTGAAGCATCATATTTCCCTGCAACATTGACTGTGTATTAGATTTGGTGCTGACTGTGCCCTTATTATATATAAAATATATGCTTTTGCATCATTGTTGTTATGCCAGTGCTGACATGTTCTTGGTGGCACATATTTTTGCAGTAGGTACTCAGTGAGGTAAAGTAACAATGCTTCAATTTTAATATGAGTCTGTCAATGGAAATAGTATGCTGGCTATTCCATGTTGCAGTGAGGGAAGGGGCCTGAACACCTCCAGGTGAATGTGAAGATGCACGTCCTGTACCGTTCATGTACGTTCATGCAAGTCCGTGCACATTCCATGCACAACCAAACTGTTTGTACTTATATGACTAGTGATTAGGACTACTTCAATGCTTCATCATTTTATGGATATGATATTTGCTGTATTTGCTAGCCATTTTGCTTCCTTTTTGTGTGTCCAACACAATTCAAACTTTCAATAGCCATTGAGAAAATTTGTGTTGAGCTGTCATTGTTGTCAGGACTTTACAATGTCCTTGCCTACTGAGGCTACATGTTGTATGCCTCTCACCCTGCAATAAAGATGGGCTTCACTGGAGATGAAACTCTGTACCAAGTTTTAAGTTTCACTGATGAACAGTTTAACCACTGTGCTATGATATCCCACTTGCTGGGCTGACTTCATCAATTTGCTTACATATATTGTCCCATTTGTCCCAAATATTGCATTGATGATAATTTAATGCAGTTTTCTTTAAATGCCTGGAAATTGTTTGAACCTCCATGTGTAAAAGTGGGAGGGTCTGTTGCGACTTTGGCAATGATTCACATGTCATCACAGGTCATGCTATTTCTTTTGTTTCAGTTCATTGCAGCTAAGATGGCATATTGATCAAAAATGAAAAAAGTTAATTACAACAATATTGGTAATGAACACAGGAACCTCCAAATCAGACCATCCTGACTGCAGGGCAGTTTAAATCAAATAGGTGCTACTTCCTGTGGTCCAGACTGGCCATTCAATAGGAAAGTAATATGCAATCATGGTCTGGATCAGACTGCATAGAAAAAAGAAGCACAGTTGCAACTAAGCATCACACCATATCATAGCTCATTATTCTCAAGGAGTATTACACACCATAAGGTCAAATTTGTATGATTATTTTTTTAAATTTTCTTGATAATGTGCAATGATAATTCAAACAATGATAGTATGGGTATAAATAGTAGGGTACACAAGTGGGCATTATATAGTTGTGTGAACTTGTGTTGCCTATCATTCCCACAGATGCCACCATATCCAGACAGAAAATGAAGAGACTTTGTAAGATAGCCCTTCTTGGGCTTATATTTTTGATACATGCAGCTGGGAGTTTTGGGAAAGGAGAAGATAGGCAGGATACTGACTCACTCAGAAGGAATGAGTACTACAACAGTAACATGGATGGAGATGTTACCTTGGAAGATGAGCAGGAAGATACAATTGAGGAAGAAATTGAAAAGCTGGGGAGTGACATTAAGGCATATTTCAAGCACAGCGACATAGAGAAAGGTCACATAGATAACACACAAAAAGAGCAGGTAAGTTTATGTGCTCCAGATATTTCCACTTTATCTTTCTTTAATCATCATCTTTAATGTCTTTAACATCATTTAACAACATCATTCTTTAATATCTTTAATATTTAACATCTTTAACATCTTTCATCATAATCTAACATCATAGCATCATCTTTAACAGGGTATCATGATGCACCACACCTGATCGCCGCTGCAGAGTGACGTCACGTCATTGGGGCTTTACGACACACTCAGCTGCTGAGGCTATATGGCGTCACCTGCCTCTCACCCTGGCAGGAAGGGCAGGTGCCGCGGGGAATCGAACCCGTACCTCTGGTTTCCCAGACGCACAGTGGTTATCACAGACGCATTAACCGCTATACTACCGGCACCTCACACTGTGGAGTACTAAAGCCCAGCAAGCCAACCAAATTCTAGCTTGATGGCTTCTCTCAGTCCACACCATGATGGAAGTGAGTGCTTGGATTATTAGCACTTGTGCTCAGAACCCTGAAATCTCAGCAGAAATACTGTACATTGTGTAATTGTTGAATTATATGTAACAACAACAGATAAGAAGTTATTTTTCTTTGTCCATGGCTAGGTACAATTCAGTATGCTGGTAAATGATCTACAGTAAATGTCAATATTGGACCCTGGGCCCAATAGGCTTTGTATTGTGTCAAGTTGTGTGCTGCACAGGACCCCATGGCGTGAACCTTATCAGGTGCAACAACCCATCCACCCTACTGCTTTACCCTACCTGTGCCCCATCTCACCTTGCATGCCGTCAAATACTGCACCCTCTCAGCCCAGCATGCCACCTTCCATATTGTACTCCACTCCACTGCACTGTCCTCTGCCCCTGATCTGACCTGCCTGACCTGCCCTGACCTGTTCTGACCTGTTCTGACATGACCTGATCTGAACTGACCTGATCTGATCTGATCTGATCTGACCTGACCTGACCTGACCTGACCTGACCTGACCCGTGGCCGCCACACCGTGCGCTGTGGGCACCTGACACAGCTGAGGAGGTGGCCTGCTGCCTGTCAGGTATCGGCTGTGATCCCGACCGCCGACGAGGAGGACCTGATGCTGGTCTCCACGCTGACGGGCCGGCTGTACGGCCTGAGCCGCGCCTCGGGCACCGTGCTCTGGACGCTGGAGCGCGGCCCGGCCGTGCGCGCGCCCGACACCCAGCTGCGCCAGGCCGAGTAGGTGCCCGGCATCACCGCCGCCGCCGGCAGCGGGCGGTCCGGGGCCGCCGCGCGCGCCCGCGGCTTGTGTGGCGGCAGCGCTGGTGTGGCGGTGCTTTGATGGCTGTCCAATGCCATGGACAGAGAGGCCATGGTGCAGCCCGCTGGATTGTGATAGTTGGGTGGTAGTGTGATTGTCATCGTTTCAGTGAAGTCTGCGAGCTGCGACGTTCGTCTGCGTCTGCCGTGCTGTGATGTTGTGACGTCACTGTGGCATCATCCCTGCAGGGCAGCGTTTCCACCGAACCGTCGGACGACAGGCTGTATGCACTGTTGTAACGTCACTATGATATCATCCCGGCAGGGCGGCGTTCCTGCCGGACCCGTTGGACGGCAGCCTGTATGCGCTGTTGTGACGTCACCATGCCATCACCCCGGCATGTATGCGCCCTTATGCCGTCACTGTGACGTCATCCCTGCGGGGCGGCGTTCCTGCCGGACCCGTTGGACGGCAGCCTGTATGCGCTGTTGTGACGTCACCATGCCATCACCCTGGCATGTATGCGCCCTTATGCCGTCACTATGACGTCATCCCAGCAGGGCGGCGTTTCCGCCGGACCCGTTGGACAGCAGCCTGTATGCGCTGTTGTGACGTCACCATGCCATCACCCTGGCATGTATGCGCCTGTATGCCGTCACTGTGACGTCATGCCTGTGGGGCGGCGTTTCTGCCGGACCCGTCGGACGACAGGCTGTATGCACTGTTATGACGTCACTATGACGTCATTCCAGCAGGGCGGCGTTCCTGCCGGACCCGTTGAACGGCAGCCTGTATGCGTTGTTGTGACGTCACCATGCCATCACCCCGGCATGTATGCGCTCTTATGCCGTCACTGTGACGCCATCCCAGCGGGGCGGCGTTTCTGCCGGACCCATCGGACGACAGGCGGTATGCACTGTTGTGACGTCACTATGATATCATTCCAGCAGGGCGGCGTTCCTGCCGGACCCGTCGGACGGCAGCCTGTATGCGCTGCTGTCACGTCACCATGCCATCATCCCGGCATGTATGCACTCTTATGCCGTCACTGTGACGTCATCCCAGCAGGGCGGCGTTCCTGCCGGACCCGTCGGACGACAGGCTGTATGCACTGTTATGTCAACGCTATGACGTCATCACAACAGGGCGGCGATCCTGCCGGACCCGTCGGACGACGGGCTGTATGCACTGTTATGACGTCGCTATGACGTCATCCCAGCAGGGCGGCGTTCCTGCCGGACCCGTCGGACGGCAGCCTGTACATGCTGGGCGGACCGGGCCGGGACTCGCTGCGGAAGCTGCCGTTCACAGTGCCGGAGCTGGTGTCGGCGGCGCCGTGCCGCAGCTCGGACGGCCTGCTCTACACCGGCAAAAAGGTAGCGCACCTGGTCGCGAGCTATGATGTGCGACACCGGCCTCCCGGGCTGATGTGGGCTGGACTTCACGCTAGTAGAAGGGGCCGGCCGGGGGCTGAGTAGAAACGCATGCGTGCGGTTAGAAGGGCGTTATATGAAGGTTCAGGGAGAGGTCTATTTGTACACCAACAAACGTGTACTCCGAGGAGGGGCAAGGAGGGTGCTCTCGCACACCGGAGGGTCGGTGGTATGGGGACCAGAGGGGACCATGCGCACCGGTAGAAGGTGCCGCACTGTGTATAGGACAGCTGTCACGCGGCACCATGCCGGTGCGCAGACACTGAATCCTGGGGAGAAGTATGGCTTGGGGCTGGTGGTGAGGCACGAGCCTCCCACAGTAACAGCAGGCACCGCTGGTGGTCGGGCCACGGCACTGCCGTCTGCACATGGCAGGCGATGGCGCCGGGGGCCATAGCGCCCAGTAGCCTTCTGTTCACCGGCAGAAGAGCGCCTCCGGCGGCTCGGCGGGCGTGTGTCCTGCTCAGCGGGTGGACGCCGGCGCGCGGGCTGAACTGTAGCGAGCACGTCCCGGCAACATGGCGGTGATGGCCACAAGCTCTCAGCTCCGCGCCAATTGCGGTAGTGTCCGTCATGGGCGTGATGCCGTGGTCAGCGCGCTAACCTGGCGTGGTTTGTCTTTTGCATTAATGCGTACAGCTGCCAGCGACGGACTCCTGAGCGACAGCGGGTATTAGGTGTCAGCGACAAGCCCCCACGTCACAGGCCCATCGGCGTGACATAGCAAGACTAGGAAGTGAGCCCGCTGTCACCCGACCTGACCCGACCTGACCCGACTCGACCTGGCATGCTCCGAGGGTGCCCGCTCCGAGCGAACTTAACCTGACCTGATCTGCCCTGGCGCTGGAGCTGGGCTGTCATGGCCCCGGCCGTGAAGTGGCCCGTGACCTGACAGCGCCCACGTGACGACGGGTGGAGTGACGGGACCGGATTTAAATGCTGACCTGACCTGACATTTACCCCTGACCTTGACCCCTCACCTGGCAGGTGGACGGCTGATTGGCTGTGGACTGGGTGACGGGCCAGGTACATGAGGGCCTGACCTTGACCCCTGACCAGGCAGGTGGACGGCTGGCTGGCTGTGGACTGGGCGACGGACCAGGTACATGAGGCCCTGACCTTGACCCCTGACCTGGCAGGTGGACGGCTGGCTGGCTGTGGACTGGGTGACGGACCAGGCACAGAGGCCCTGACCTCGACCCCTGACCTGGCAGGTGGACGGCTGGCTGGCTGTGGACTGGGTGACGGGCCAGGTGCAGGAGGAGCTGACATCGGAGGGCTCCAGCCGCTCGTGCCCGGTTAACAGCCCGCACACTGTCTTCATCGGACGTACAGGTACGGGCACGACGCGCCAAGTTCGGTTGGCCGTTACTTGCTTTGGGAGCGTATGAGGATGTGCGACTGACCGTGGGTAAGTCAACGTTTGTGGACTGTTCTGTCATGGAAGTATTGGTCCTGTTGGATATCGCGGTAAGCTTGTAAGGTGCGCGTCAGCCATGGGGCTAGGCCAGCTGAGCCATGGCTGCGGTCCGTGACGACGGCCGGCGGTTTTGCTTGCGCTTGCTGCTGGCTCCCGTTATTGGCATGTTGTCGGTGCTGCGCTCGCCCCCTCCCCCTGCTCCAGCTGCCGCGGCAGCAGCTGTGCGCCGGCGGTGCCCCCCCCCCGCCCCCCAGTCTGCAGCGGCCTGCCCCCTCGTCTCGACCTCGCCCCCTCCTGCGGCGGCGTCTGGCGCTGCCCCCGCCCACAGCCGCAGACGCGCGCCGCCGGTATTGATCCTGTTGACAATCACACCAGCTCGGCGGCCACACGGCTGCGGCAGCGTGTGGTGCCACAGGTGGCCGGCGGCTTATACCGCCGGATTTGTGGTGTTCAGCGTGTGGCTGTGGGCTGGGGGACCGGGGCAGAGTGGGGCGTCCTCTGGCGGCAGGCGGTCTCGAGTGTCGGGGCCGTCCGGAAGCGTAATCACTGCAGCGGTGATCAGCTGCGTCTTGTGGACAGCTGGCGGGTAGTCACCTCAAGGCGTAGGGCTGTTGAGACCGTGTTTTGGGACACGTGAGTGTCCACGGACATGATTTGGATGTGCCGATTTTGATTCGTGTCTCCCAGGCTTGACGCATGGGGCGATGGTGCTTTCATATTCCGGTGTTACAACTAAGCATTTAACAGTTGCAATGTTCCGCCGTACTGTGGTCTGACAATGAACGCGAGCCAATTTCGAACATACGAAACAACATAATGAGTCCGGCGCGGCGTCCCAAAAGCCCGCCGCGCCGTGATTGGTCGCATGGCGAGACGATCAAGCCGTTGGCAGCGGGGCTGGCGGCCGCCTCAGCTCCGCTGCCTTCCGGCTCCTGACCCCGCACGATGGAGGGCGTGACCCGGCGCCGCGTCAGCGAGCTGTGTAGTGACGTCATGCACCTGGCCTCCATGCCAAGCTCGCATTGGCGCAGAGCACGCGACGGAGGCAACGAGGAATCCGCACTGACGCCGACTGGACGCGTGGACAGGCGTTCGGAACCGTTTTCGGTGCAACGTTCGTGAGCGTAGCGGTCGGTCGTTGGTTCGCTATTGAACGTAAAAATGAGGCGGGCACCCCCGCCACAGAACCGCGGCCCCTGAAGCCCCGGGGGGGGGGGGGGGGGTCCGGTTTGCCCGCCCCCAACCGCAAAGGTCAGTAGTAGGTTGGCCACGATAAGCGGCCGTGCGGCCCGTGCAGTGGGAGTAGGACTGGTTCGCCGAGTTGTACCGGAACCTGTTCGGAGCCGCCAGGATTCCGGCTCGGCCACCGGCCCAGCCGACTGGCCCGGGGTCTCCCGCGGTCGGACAGCCGAAAACCGGCACCGCGGGCACGGGCGGCGTCAGGGGATCTGAGAGGGGGGCGGGGGCGGGTACACGAGTGTGTGGCACGTCTTGCAGGCGCTGATCGCTACAGAGGCGCCGGATGCGTGACAATGCGTGACGTGTCAGCCGCGCCCCTGTCTGAACGCAATAACTTCAGCGCACGGTGCCGGGATCTCGGCGGTTTCTTGACGTCCGATCTTGCCTGGCGCGTGAACGGCGTCACACACGCGTCACTGACGCCGTGGCCGTGACGGCCGGTGTAGCGTGACGCCGTCACAGACGGCGGTCGACAGCAGACGGACCTGTGTCCGAACCAGCACCGCTGGCACGCCGCCCCGAGACCGGGCCCCTGTGTCCAGACGGCGCCTGGGTTGTGCTGTGGCTCTGGTTGTTACATCACGCGGCGGCGAGGAAAAGTGGAAGCAGGTCCACATCTCGCCGGGTGCTGTTGAAGCGGTGGAGTTTTCCTATGCCACCCGCCCCCTGCCGCTGTCGTGCAGGGTGGAGCGATGCTGAATTGTTGACGTGGCAAGCCCAGCAAACGGCATACACAGCAGCTGACTGATTGACGTCATACCGGGCGAAGCGAGGAATGCGCTTCGGCGGGGTAACTCCGCTGGGTCACGTCCCGCAGAATGGGCGTTGCCGAAGTTACGAATAGGCTTACATAATCAAGAGCGGTCTGGTGGCGTACACTGCTGGTATCAATGGGAACCGTGTACGGCGTACACTGCTGGTGTCAGTCGGGACCGTGTACCGCATACACCGCTGGTGTCAGTCGGGACCGCGTACCGCGTACACTGCTGGTGTCAGTCGGGACCGTGTACCGCATACACCGCTGGTGTCAGTCGGGACCGCGTACCGCGTACACTGCTGGTGTCAGTCGGGACCGTGTACCGCATACACCGCTGGTGTCAGTCGGGACCGTGTACCGCGCACACTGCTGGTGTCAGTCGGGACCGCGTACCGCGCACACTGGTGGTGTCGGTCGGGACGGTGTACCGCGTACACTGATGGTGCCAGTCGGGTCCGTGTACCGCGTACACCGCTGGTGTCAGTCGGGACGGTGTACCGCGTACACTGCTGGTGTCAGTCGGGACGGTGTACCGCGCACACTGCTGGTGTCAGTCGGGACCGCGTACCGCGCACACTGGTGGTGTCGGTCGGGACGGTGTACCGCGTACACTGATGGTGCCAGTCGGGTCCGTGTGCCGCGTACACCGCTGGTGTCAGTCGGGTCCGTGTACCGCGTACACTGCTGGTGTCAGTCGGGACGGTGTACCGCGTACACTGCTGGTGTCAGTCGGGACCGTGCACCGCGTACTTTGTTGGTGTCAGTCGGGACCGTGGTGGTGTCAGTCAGGACCGTGTACGGCGTTCACTGGTGGTGACAGTCGGGACCGCGTGATCGCGTACCCCGCAGCGGTTCTCGGCTCTAGAGTAACATGGGAGCTCGCTGCGTGCTGTTCGTGCAACGTTCGGATTATAGCATGCAGGCATCGCATGATTTTCGCCTTTTTTGGGCAACCTGCCACTTAGTGCTGCTGGGTGGGTCACGAAGCGCGGTTCAGCCGTGGCTCGTGCCTCACCTGTCTGGCAGACGTGAACTGTGGCGCGTTAGTCTTCATGCACTCGGACAACGCCTCGCGCTGCGCAATCTTGCCAAAGTGTTTGATATGTATGAGGTATCATGTTCGTGCGGACATTGTTTCGAATTCAGTCACGCGTCTCTCAGCATGATGACGGCGGGGGCAGAACAGGCATTGCCCCGGGTAGTTTGTTTTGTTTCATCTGCAAACCTCCGTGTCCGGCTTGGCTTGATCGTAAGTCGAGCTGCCCCTCCTCCCTTCCCCCCCCCCCCCCGCTCTGCGCCCCCTGAAACCACGTGCGGATTATTGTGTCTCACTGAGACTTCCTCCCCCTTGCGATGGTTACATCGATCGCTGTCAGCATTTGAGGAAGCGCTCCCAAAATCGCCAATGGGGACAACGCCATGGTTTAAGGGGAGAGGGAGTTTAATCGTTAGACTGCAGCGAATGTATGAAGCTCCGTCTGACGGTATTCGGAGCATGTTGTTGACCGTTTTGTTACCAGTTATCCGCTACTTTTCGCCATCGCCACGCCCATCGCCACGCCGCATTTCGCCATCGCCTTCGCCGCATTACGCTCCGCTGCACATCTCTCTGGTGCATGCACGACGTCTTGACGCGGTCACTTCCTGTCGGCAGAGTACACAGTGTCGATGCACGACAGTAAGGCGGGCAGCCGGCGCTGGAACATCAGCTTCACCCAGTACTCGGCGCTGGAGATGCCGCCCGAACTGCTGGCCAAGTACCGTGAGTGGCGCCGGGCAATCTCCTGGGAAGTCTGCTGGACGTCCAGATAGAGTCTGCTGGACTCCAGGGGCTGCTGGACGTCCAGACAGAGCCCACTCGGTCCGAGCCTGTGGGCGAGGGTGATCTGCGCCCCTGGAGTGCCGGGGCTCTCCCAGAGCGCTGGGTGTCATGCGGCGCATGCCGTGTGTTGGCCGCACCCTCTCACGACCCCTGGTTATGAACCGTTTGGCGAATACGGCCCTTGCGCCGCCACCACTCATCGCAGCATGTACTCAGGTCTATTGTATACTGAAGATGGATTGGTTAACGTGTGAGTGGTCTTGCCGTCGTTAGCGTATCGTATTGAAAGAGATGACGGTGGTGGCTTATTTCCAACGGTCCCTCAATTTCTTGTCGACGTCAGGCTTTGAGCGAGTTGTGTATGTCGCTAATCGGTCCGTCGTAGGCACTTACTAGATCATAGTGACGTGTTTACCAACGCTTGTGCTAATGATCATCAATCACCAAAAGCTCAACAACACAACGCAACGCAACTTATCACCTCGTCGTCGTCAGCAAATGCAACCCCAGCACCTCGTCCATAAGTTCGTTCATGACTACAACTCAACGCGCCACGATTTATAATTTCCTAAGTCGATTCCTACTAACATCGACTCCGCCATGGTGACGTCTACACGGGGGGCTGCAGGTTCCCTTCTGTCAGCTCCGCCCTACCCGTGTCTATCAGGGCTGACAAGCCGGCGTTCAGCCGAGTCCGTGAGACGTGGCCGCGTGCCGCGCGGCGCGGGGCGGCTCCGTGACGCGCGCTGTGCCGCCGTGTGTTTCAGCGATGAACCATTTCTCCACCACGTCGTCGGGCCGGATCATGAGCTTCAGCCGGGAGACGGGCAGTCACCTCTGGCAGGTGAGTCCGCGGAGACGCAGCGACGGCCAAACACGCCAGGGACGTGGGGTAGACAAGGGACACGGGGACAGTCAAAGACGCCAGGGATATGGGATAGACACGGAACACCGGGACAGTCAAAGACGCCAGGGATATAGGGTAGACACGGGACACAGGGACAGTCAAAGACGCCAGGGACATGGGTTAGACGCGGGACACGGGGACCGTCAAAGACGCCAGGGACGTAGGGTAGACGCGGGACACAGGGACAGTCAAAGACGCCAGGGACATGGGTTAGACGCGGGACACAGGGACAGTCAAAGACGCCAGGGACATGGGTTAGACGCGGGACACGGGGACAGTCAAAGACGCCAGGGACATAGGGTAAACGCGGGACACAGGGACAGTCAAAGACGCCAGGGACATAAGGTAAACGCGGGACACAGGAACAGCCCAACACATCAGGGGGATGGAGAAGACATGAAGCATAGGGGCAGCCAAGCACGCCAAGGACGTGCGGTAGACAAGGGACACGGGGACGACAAAACACGCCAGGTCACTTTCACCGCCGATCACGTTTGGCTATTTCTGCTTTAATGCGGAAGTGGTGTGAAGGGTGGATCGTTCTGATTGCCTTTGACTAGTGTCGAACGGTGTTCGCAGCTCTGACAGCGCACAAATGTAAGCCAGTTTCATCGACCCGAAGCCCTCGGAGCCGCTCTCATTCCGTGACTGACCGGTGCTGTTCGTGTGACGATGCCTGTCGTGTTTCATACATGCCCACCAGCGTGTCCCGTCTCAGCCGCCAGATGGTGGTAGCGCGACAGGCGCGCGATGTTGTGGCCGCTGCCGGCTTGATGTAGCTCGGATGCGTAGTGGTTGAGTGGATTGGCGCCTTTGGATCCCACGTGGGGGCCCGGGCTGTGGTCCCCGTGGACGCATGGGTCCTGAGCGCTTACGTGGCGTCGACAGTCGTTGACGCTCTATGGAATGGCACGCGGCAGCGTGCGTCGCGTTCTCGGTACAAAGGGGCCTCATAACGCTCAACACGTTCGGCGAATCGATACCAGTCAACCACCACCTGTTGCGCCGGCAATCCGTTCATCTCCAGCCGATACTTCAGCGTGTCATTCACCACCTGACTTGCGGGCGAGTCCATCTGACGGCGCCGCCGCCGGCGTCCTCCCCCGCAGACGGAGCTGGACTCGCCCGTCGTCGCCGTGTACGCGCTGGCGTTCGACGCGCTCTACGCCGTGCCGCATACTACCGTGGCCACGGAGACGCTGCGCGCGCTCACCCATGACGTCATGGAGGCCAGGCAGCTCGTGTGAGTGGCCGCAGTGTGACGTCACGTCGTTGGAGGATGGCGTCACCTCCCGTTAGCTGTGTGCGGTCGTCACTGAGCGGCTGTTAAGCTTGGTGAAAGAGAAATGAAGAGTGTTACTCATGACAAGTGACCGTCTAGCTAAGCTTAAGGCTTAAACTTGTTCCGTGGAACCCTGCCTTTGCGTGGAACAGGCACGGCTCGTCCTGGGATGCTGCGTCTCGTGACGCGTCAGCTGGCTGGTGAGGGTCACGCGCTCCCGAAAGCTCTCCAGAACCCGATCGAGTCCCTGAGTCCCTCGTCGCGTCGTCTGCCGACTGACTCCCTCGCCCGTGCTCGCAGGCCCACCCTCTACATCGGCGAGCACAAGCACGGCCTGTATGCGCTGCCGTCATTGGTGGACGCGTCAACCGTGCACGTCATCACCAGCCAATCACGGCGCCCGCTGATCGACGGGCCGCGCGACGGGGGCGGAGACTCGGCCACCGGTGGCCAATCAGGGAGCTACTTTAAGCTGCACGACGAGGACAAGAAACCAAAACTGCTGCAAATTGGTAAGACAACGGCATGCAGTGTCAAATGCTGCACATACTTGGATCCACGCGAGTAGCGAACCCCTTTTGTGGTGATATGGGGGTCTGCTGATTGCATTTGGCTGTTACCAGTCGCTTCAAGTATCGCGTTATGTTAAGACCTTGTTTCATCAGCATAATGTGAGATCGCTGACATCGTCTGACCTTTTGATACATTACATTTTCTGAGCGCTGCCTGGCCCGCTTGCAGTGGGTGCGCCCGAAAACCCCGAATGATCGTCACCCATTACGTCGCCGACCGACATGACTCCGGACCCCTGTCGCTATAACACGGACCCCGGCCACTATAACACGGACTCCGGTCACTATAACGGACCCGAATCACTGACGTGTAGCACGTGATCCGGCCAGAGCTGACATCTGATATGGGCGCCATATGGCCGTTGTAGTCGGGGCGCCCCAAAACCCAAATCATCATCAGCTGACATCTGATGACCTCTGACCTTGGCCCAAGGTCACTGTGATGTGCCTTAGGCGCCCTGCCAAAGCGAAGCTCCAGTGACGTCATCATTTCACTATGACCCTCCTGCCAAACAACATTTCGTGAGCAAATACAGATTTTTGCGAACGTCATTGTGGGTCGGCGCTAAGACAGATCCCTTAACAAGAGGCGCCTCTGTGCGTGTGTAATGTGAACGTGACAGTCGACTGACGGCCGCCACGGACGCGGGCCCACGTGTGATGTCGACCGCCGCCACCCCGACGGGCTGGCCACCGTCACCGAGCCGTCATCCGGACTCCGAGCCGGAGCCGACCTCTGGTGACTTCTGGCCCTGATCTCGGGTCGCCAAGATGTGCCGAACTTCAGCCGGTCGGAGTTGACCTCGGCCAAGCCCGCCGTCGTTACCTCTGGCGACCTTTGTGACCTCTGGTGACCTCTGTGACCCCTGAATGACCTCGGACCCCGATCTCAGGTCACTACGGTGTGCCGAACGTCAGCCGGTCGGAGTTGACCCCGCTCAGCCCGCCGTCGCTACCTCTGGTGACCTCTGAGTGACCTTCGTCCTGACCTCAGGTCACTACGATGTGCCGAACGTCAGCCGGTCGGAGTTGACACCGCTCAGTCCGCCGTCGGGGGAGCGGGGTCGCGCCGCCCGGCCCAAGCCCAGCACGTACCTGCCGCCGGCCTGGACCGAGGCTCAGACGCAGACGGAGGCCGCCGACCGGTCCCGCCGCTCCTGGCTCTGGCTCTGGACTCAGGTACGGCACCGACGACGGGACGGGCCGTGGCAGCGGCAAAGCCATTGGCACTGGCAGGCGGCGGCCGCGGCGCCGGCGGGCAGACGGCGATGGCGGCGGCGGGTAGACGGTGGTGGCGCCGGCAGGTAGATGACGATGGCGCCAGCGGGTAGACGGCGGTGGGAAAGGCAGACAGCACGGACGTCATGCTGTTTCGCCGCGCGCCGTTCTGTGCTGTTGCCTGTGTTCGTCGGCGGTGTTGGATTCCTGCGATGGCTGCTAGATAACACGATCGGATGTGTGTCTCTGCGGCCGCGGTTGGCGGTGTACAGCAGTGAGTGATGGGGTCAGAGGGCAACTCGGATCCTCAGACCTGCGGTCAGCGTCGTTCTGCCTGGTATTGAACCGGCGGCAACCAGTCTGAGAACCCTATGGCGCATATAACCCCGGTCTGAGAGCCCACATACGGCGCAGGTCACAGTGATGGTATGCGCCAGCAGTGCGAGCACAGCGTACATTGACTGTCTAAAAACCACGACAGGCCATATGTGTAAATCTGTTCGTCTACCGTGGTTTGGCCTGCTACATAGAACTGATCTGCTGAACTGCTGCACCTGTGATGACCGTTGTTGACCTGATGCGCTTCGAGGTGACCTCTGGCCTCGTCGCGGCGCTCACGCCCGCGCCGTGCCGATCCCTGGTCACTCGGCGCGCTCTGGGATGACCTCTGACCCCAAACCGAACGTCGGTTTCAGCTCCTCCCCGCGCGGACCCACGATGACCCCCTGCCCCTGGTGTTGACCCCTGACCCGTGCCACCAGGCGCGCACGTTCTGACCCACGATGACCCCCTGCCCATGGTGCTGACCTCTGACCCCTGCCGCCAGGTGCGCACGTTCAACGTCACATTCCTGCTGTCGGCCGGCGAGTGGGCGGCGCTGATCTCTGACCTGACGGGGTCGGCCGACCCAATGACCTCGGCCGCCACCGAGCGCGCGCTGTTCGTGCTGACGGTGCTGGCGCTGGCGGCGCTGGCGCTGGCGTTGCTCCGACGACGGGTACGGGCGCTGCTGCGGCGCGGGAGACGCGAGGCCGTGGGCGGGCTCGCGAACCGAGGGTTGTTGACCTACGCCGTGGGGCTGGCGTCTGGATGGAGATCCCTCTGATTGTTTGACCTCGTGCGGGCGTTGTTTGTAGGTGTTAGATATGTATATTTGAGCTTCCATCGCAGTGTGTGCGCCGGTGCAGGATAGATAGAAGTAAAGAAGTGCTTGAAGCTGATGCACTGGTAGACCCATGCTATCCTTTAACCCGAATAGTATCGGATCTTTGCCCCGGAATATACAAGAGACCTGTTGTTGGTGACAATCCTGTGCGGCTGGGAAGGGGGGCATGAGCAGGCTGTCGACCATCTTTGCCCACCCGACCCAGCGGCATCACCTGCTCCATGACAGCACTGGCACACCCTTGAACTGTGGGCCCACTTCGGGGACCTGCTGGGGGCGCTGTCCCGGTCCTGAGGTTTCCTGCGGCTCATGTGTGTTTGTGTGAACCCTGTACTTGGGGATGCCTCGTTCGCGATCTCCTGATCCTCTGGCTGACTCTCTGTGATCCTGTCCTGGCCGAGCCCCGTGTGGCTCCGGTCCTTTGTGGTCTGTCTTATCCTTCGCTTGCGTGTCTGAACTTGAACCTCTGTCTGATCTCCCCTGACCACTGTACATCCTCTGTCTGAACTTTTATCCCCCGCAGACCTCCAGCCTGTCCGTTTATGACCCTGAGCATAGTGTGGCCCCTATCTGGCATCTGTTGGGGGGGGGGGGGGAAGGGTCAGACCCAGGATCGATCACACGTTACTCCGGTTCGACTCCCTTGGCAGCGCGGTTCTACTCCCTTATGAGCGCGGTTTGACTCCCGTGTGACGCCCCGCGCCGCCTGACCGTCGCGCCTGACCCCGTCAGGACCGGTCTCAGCGGCCGTCGTGGCCGACGGGGCCGGCCTCGGGCGCCGACAGCACGGGCTCGCGCGGCTCCCAACGTCACGTGACGGCCGACCTCGAGCAGCTGGAGGACGGCGTCGTCCGCGTCGGCAAGATCGCCTTCGACTCGGACGCCTGCATCGGCAAGGGCTGCGAGGGCACGTTCGTCTTCAAGTGAGTAAGCGGGACGGGACGGGACGGGACGGGACGGGACGGGACGGGACGGGACGGGACGGGACGGGACGGGACGGGACGGGACGGGACGGGACGGGACGGGACGGGACGGGACGGGACGGGACGGGGCCGGGGCCGGGGCCGGGGCCGGGTCCGGGTCCGGGTCGGGGCGGGGTGATGATGTCGTGGGCCGTCTGTATGCTGACCGCTGTCACCGGCGCGCCGTGGCCGGATGACCTGACATCTCTCGACGGACGCCGCCAACGAGTGAGTGAACGGCCGTGGCGTCGTGGGCGCGCCCGGTTGGCAGCCGCCGCGGGCCGTTTGAGGCTCGCTAGCGGTTTTCCAAGTTTGCATCCCAGTCTGCACGAGGTGGTGACGCTGGGTGATGCAGTGATGATGTGCATTACTGATGGATCCAGCGCCGGTGGCGTCAGTGTAGTACAGCACACTACCCACGGCGTGGTGCTGAAAAGCCGTGTGGGCTGTTCCACACACAGACGGACGTGCTCCCGCATGAGCTTGTTGAACTCTTCGCTCGTCGACAGTCGGTATGCGGGTGCCATTCGATTTCTATTGCAATGTATCATTGGCTGTTTCTCTTCAATTTGTCCTGCAAAATCGTCATCCCCTCAAGGTTAAGTGCATGTAACCCGTAGGTTGTTCATTTCATTAGTGAGGAGCGTTATTAACATAGATAAGACAGTTATAGTATAAGCCTTAGTCCACGGAGAAAGACCAGGAGACAGCTTACCCGAACCCAACTATATGTCCATTCTCCTGGTTTTTCTGCGAGGAATGAGGCTTATACTACTGCCTCATCTATGCATGTAATCAGGTATGATCCATGAGCTATGACATGCAAGGAACATCTGGAAACAAGCCGCGGTGCGCCCTGCTGGGATCTGACCACCTATCGATTGACGTCACGTTACGTGATATGATTCGACCCGAATATGATAGACCAGGTCACGACCTGACCTGACTCACCGAGGACATGAGCACAGCTGCACCAGGCTGTCGTCCGATCTGAGCATTTTTCATGACCCCGCCTTGACCCGGCCTGGCAAACTCCGGAATCCCACCGCGTCACCGTTCCGTGTCACAACCGGACCAAGTGCGACGCGTCCAGCACCCCGACCTGTCCGGACCTGGCCGCGCGGCCGTGCTCAATCTGACCACGACCGGACCGCGCCAGACCGCCTGACCTGACCGCCGTCGCAGCTCCACCTGACCTGACCTGACCCGACCGCGCGGCCGTGCTCAGTCTGACCGGACTGGACCGCGCCAGTCCGCCTGACCTGACCGCCGTCGCAGCTCACCTGACTGCCGTCGCATCTCACCTGACCTGACCTGACCTGACCTGACCTGCAGGGGCTGGTTCGACGGCCGTGATGTGGCAGTGAAGCGGCTGCTGCCGGACTGCTTCACGTTCGCCGACCGAGAGGTGGCGCTGCTCAGGGAGTCGGATCAGCACCCCAACGTCATCAGGTCAGTGGAACTGACACCGAGGTCATCAGGTCGGTGGAACTGACACTCCAGGGTTAGCTGGGCGGTGGACGGATGCCCCAGGGTTATCAGGTCAGTGAGGCTGGCACCCAGGGTCGTCAGGTCAATGGAGCTGACACAGCAAGGCCATCAGGTCGGTGAGAATGACACACCAGGGTCATCAAGTCAGTAAGACTGGTACACTGGGGTCATCAGGTCAGTGCAACTGGTACCCCAAGGTCATCAGGTGCGATGAACTGACATCTCGTCGTGTTCTGGTCAGTGATCGGGTCAGTGAGACAGTGGACGTCACCAGGTCACGGAGTGTTACCGGTTGGCTGCTCACCGACCTCACCCGATGACCTTTGCTTGACCTCCCATACGGAGGTCCCAGGGCCATCAGGTCTGGAGTATGGAGGCGCGGCAGACCCGCCGTCCGTGTCAAGATGTCGCCGTTCGTTATGTGTGGCAGGGAGGAGGGGGGGGGGGGGGGGGGGGGGGGGGGGGGGGCGGCGATGTAGTGGTTAACGCGTCTTCGTTAACCTCAGCGCGTCTGGAAAGCCAGAGGTGCGGGGTTCGATTCCCCGCGGTACCCGCCTTTCCTGCCAGGATGGGAGGCAGGCGCCGCCATATCTCAGCAGCTGAGTGCGTCGTAAAGCCCCAGCGACACAATGACGCACTTTTGCTGGCACTTGCAAACCAACAACATACTGTCGTTGGTATTCGCCTGGCGCTGGTTGCGGTGTCCGGAGTGGGTGCCGTGCGGCGGGCCTGGGCGGTGTCGTCGCTGGCTGACGCCGTCCGTCCGCCCCAGGTACTTCTGCATGGAGCAGGACCGCCAGTTCCGCTACATCGCGCTGGAGCTGTGCCTGTCCAACGTGCAGGACTACGTGCTGGGGCGGTACGAGGGGCCCGATATAGCGCCGCTCGCCATCCTCAAGCAGGCCACCGCCGGACTGGGCCACCTGCACCAGCTCAACATAGGTCAGTTGTGAGGGACTGGGCCACCTGTACCAGCTCAACATCAGTCAGTTGTGGAGGGGGAGGGGGTCTGGGACACCTGCACCAGCTCAACATCGGTCAGTTGTGGAGGGGGGAGACTGGGACACCTGCACCAGCTCAAAATCGGTCAGTTGTGCTGCAGACCGAGCACAGACGTTGACGCGTCCTTGAACTCACACCGTTATGACCAACGTTATCCGGTCGCGGCGCGGTTGGGCTGGCTGCTGTACGTGTTAAGATAAGATCGGGGATGGAATAACTGCGATGAGACGGGCACGCCGTCCTCGGCCGCAAATCCCCTACGTCACAAAAGTGGGCCGATGGGGATTACAACCGATGGAGTTCTGAATCACTCGATAAGTATGTGTCTCTGCCTTGATTGAGCTGTGAGTGTTAGGGATAACACCGCTCACCTGCCGCAGCGGCGCCCTAGCCACGACACCGCCCCTGCCGTCCCCCGGCGCCAGCTGACCTCCTTTCCTCTCTCCGCCTTCCGCAGTTCATCGCGACATCAAGCCTCATAACGTGCTGCTGGCGGCGCGCAGCGGCGGCCAGGCGGTGGCCATGATCTCCGACTTCGGCCTGTGCAAGAAGCTGTCGCGCGGGCGCGTGTCGTTCTCGCGCCGCTCGGGCGTGGCCGGCACCGAGGGCTGGATCGCGCCGGAGATGGCCGACGGAGAGGGGCGCGCGGTGAGTGTGGGGCGCAGGGGAAACCAGGGCAGGGTAGAACAGGACAGGGCAGGGCAGGACAGGGCAGGGCAGGGTAGGGCAGGGCAGAGCAGGGCAGGGCAGGGCAGGCAGGGCAGGGCGGGGCAGGGAAGGGCAAAGGGATGGATGAACCGAAGGGCGGCCTGGTTCAGCCGACACGCCTTCGGCCTGTGCCCGTGTCCCGCCGCTCGGGACGGACGGTCCCTGACCTGGGCGGTCAGCGAACATCTCAGGCGATTGTCACGGACGTGAGTCACCGCCGTCTAGTAATAGCCTTGTGGTCCGTGGCCCCGACCTTGACCCGGCCTGTGCCCCGGCCTCTCCGGCGCAGACGGGCGGGGCAGACAGACGTGTTGGGACCTTGGTCCGGCCTTGTTGCCACGCAGTGTGACCCGGGCCATTCTGCGACCCCACGACGCCCGCCCCCGTCCTCAGACGTGTTCCGTGGACGTGTTCTCCCTGGGCTGCGTCTTCTACTACGTGATGAGCGGCGGCCACCACCCGTTCGGCGAGTCGTTCAGACGCCAGTACAATATCCTCAGCGGCGAGTACAGGTCAGCTCCCCCCGCCCTTTCTCTCCCCGGAGTACGTGTCAGCCGTGCACGGGATCTTTGTGGCTGGTCCAGGTATTGAGCTAAATCCGATCTCTGGTGCATTTGGAGCATGTTATGCGCTTTTGGCAATCGACGTTGAGAGAAGGGTGGTCAAGTATAGGCTGGTTGCGGGTAGGTCGTAGTGAAAGATAATTGAAAGATTCAAGCATCTTTGATTTGTTTTCCTGGACTTACGCGAATGTTACCCGGAAGAATGGCGACGGCTATGATAACGAAAAAGATCAGTGGATGCAAATTAATGTGAGGAGCGGTGAACTAGTAGCCCAAAGCCGTTCTAACAAATACGCAAATGTCGACGAGCCGTGTGGTGTGAGCCAATGGCGCCGCGCCCTGTGCGTCACCGCTGACGCCGCCGCCGCCACCGCTGCCGACAGTCTCTCCCTCCTGAAGGACGTCACCGGCGTGTGTCTGATCCGACGCATGCTGTCGACGCCGGCCGAGCAGCGGCCGCTGGTGCCGGCCGTGCTGGCTCACCCGTTCTTCTGGCCGCCGCAGAAGGTGCTGCACTTCTTCCAGGTGAGCGCCGGCGGTGTCCGCTCCCGTGCGGCCCGACCCCCGGGCTGGCGGGGTCGGCCCATGGCCGTGCACGCACGAGGGGAGGGGGTGGTGGGAGGCCGTGCTCGCGAGGATGTGGGTTGAGGCTCGCCATTGGCTGTTTTTCGTTGGCTCCGTTGCGTTATGCGGCGTGGGAGATCGCGACACTGGTTGACGAAAATGGTGACGGGTGTTGTTAAGTGAACCGGAGTAGATATGGAAGCCTTTGGTACTCATAAAGCGGTTTTGAAATGCTGCTGTACCTCTCCCAGATTGTTCCGCCGCGCGCTGCGTGACTGCCACTTCATTCTTCTTCGCGAGCTTTCGTGGTTCGCTGTTGCAATTAAACTGAGTGCAGCATCTTGTGTCTGCCAGAAGAAGGTCCATAACGCGACTAGGCCAGACCTATGTGCCGGGCCACGTCGGCTTGACCTCGAGCGGCGGATGATGAACATTGATCGCCCGCATGGGTTGCATGCCGTCTCTACCGGTGCTCCTCCGACTCCTGTCCTTCCATAGGTGTAGTGAGTACCCCTCTGTCTTGGGATTTCGTGACTTCGGCGACCTCGGCGACCTCGGCGATGGGCGGGTGTAACCCTAAGGCATTTCTCCGCTGGAGTCAATCTTCCTCCCCTCCCAGGCGGACGATACCTGAACTGGATCTGTCCTTGACCGTACGACATCCCTAACCGACCCTGCCCTGCCGTGACCTTCTCAGTGACCTTGTGGCAGACCACACCTGACGCTGACCACCTGTTACCCCCTTGACCCTCCGGGACAGTCCGCGCCTGACTCTGACCCTGACCGTGACCTTCTCAGTGACCCCGTAACGCTAGCGGACTTACGCCTGACCCTGACCACCTGTTACCCCCTTGACCTCCGGACAGTCCGTACCTGACCCTGACCGTGACCCCGTGACCTCCTGGCATAGTCCGGCACTGACCGTGACCGTGACCGTGACCGTGACCGTGACCGTGACCCCGTGACCCACGCGCCGCCGGCAGGACGTGAGTGACCGGATCGAGAAGGAGGCTCCGGACTCTGAGCTGGTGCGCCGGCTGGAGCGGCGCGGCTGGAGCTCTCGGGCGGCGACTGGAGGGAGCGCATCGACCCGTTCGTGCTCAGCGACCTCGGCAAGTTCCGCTCGTACCGGGGCTCCAGCGTCCGCGACCTGCTGCGCGCGCTCCGCAACAAGGTACGGATCGGGCCGCGGCACTCCGCGACCGAGCCCGGTCAGGGGGAGGGTCGTACCTCAGCGGTGTTGATAGATACTAGGGATCAAGAGCTACTGGGGTCTTGAAGTGTGAACTAGCGCGCAGTCGTTGGAATATTGGGCCTACATTTGAGATGGCTGAATTCCTCTGTGTAGCGTATGTAACGATTTGGCACTGGGTGGCATGAGTACAGCGCGCAGCGTCGTGATCATGTCTCGTATGTGGCTCACCATGTGGGACATACGTGTTGTGATTCATGATGTGAGACACACGTGTTATTATTGTCTCGTGTGTGACTCACCACGTGGGATACACGTGTTATGATTATGCTCATGTGTCACCCATCATGTGGGATTCACGTGTCATGTGATTATGTCCATGTGTGTCACCCATAATGTGTCACGCATGTGACACACCTGGTATTGCGCGAGCCTGCGTTGGATGTCCACAGTCGTCCGATGGCGCTGTCCAGGCCACAGGGAGGGGTGATCACGTACGGATCGTCCCAGCTGCCCCTCCCCCCCCGAGCTTCTACCCTACTGCGACAACCATGCACATCGCAGCCACTGACATCCAGTGGCCGCTGCAGCCGTTACAGCGGCGGCTGCCTTGCGAAGAAGCACAGCCGTGGGCGGACGGCACCAGCGGCCTGTGCGGGAGAGGGCCGGCCGGACCGGACGTATCGTGACGACCCCCCCCCCCCCTGGCAGAGGAACCACTACCGGGAGCTGAGCGAGGAGGCGCGGCTGGCGCTGGGCGCGATCCCGGACGGGATTCGTGCGCTACTGGACGGGCCGCTTCCCGCGGCTGCTGGCGCAATGTGTGGTCGGCGGCGCAGGCGGTGCGCAGTGAGCCCATGTTTAGCAAGTACTACTGCGGCGAGTACGACTGGACGCTGGTGAGCAGGGCGCCTGGATGGATGTATCGTGAGCTGTATGTATCGCCGCTCCAGGCCGGAGCGGCGGACAGTCCGGCGACTGGTCCGCTGTCGTCTGCGGGGTGGTCCCTGCTGGGTCACGCTATGCCTCGGGTCGAGCATAGTGAAATGTGGACCATGCAGGCTAGGGCCAATTGAAGGTCGTACAAAGGCCATGGCCAACATTGGGCATGCAGGCAAGTGAAGGCCATTGTTCTTTAGATACGAGACAGGCAAGAGTGAGCCGCGCGCTGACAGTGCACGGAGTATGGCCGAATACGTGTCACACGCCGGGCCAGCCACAGATCTGTCTGACCACATGCGAGCCAACTGGCTACGTCTGCCTTCAAGTGTCTTGGAACCCCCAGCCAGCTGCCTCCATGGCTGGCTAGATATAACCTGCCAAACTTTAGCCGCGCCTCGCTAGATGTCACCACCGCTGGTACGCGTCGCCGCTCACTAGATGTCGCGCCGTCGTCAGGAGCCGGACCCAGACGCGGTGCCGCCGTGGCAAGCGCAGCCCCGCGCGCCGCTCGCCGTCGCCCAGCACGTCGCCGTCGCCGCGCCGCCGTCCGGCGCGCCGGGGAGGCCGTGGCGGCGGGCGCTCCGCCGGCGCCGGCGCCGAGGAGGCGCGCGGCCCCCTGCTGCCCGGCTCCCAGCCGGGCATGTCCCTCATCGGCGCTCTGCTGGAGACGGACGCTCGCAACCGGGTGAGGGTCGGCAGCGGGGAGGGGTTGGTGGGGAGGGTAAGGGCCACTTGCGGTGGGAGATGGTGGGGTGGGTGAGGACCACGAGCGGGGAGGGGATGATGGAGTGGGTGAAGGCCGACAGCGAGAGGAGATGTTTGGGGAGGGCGAGGGCCGACAGCGGGGAGAGGGGGTGGAGGAGTGAAGGTTGTAGACACGTCAGGAGTGCGTCAGGGACGTCCTAAAGCTGTCCATGGTTGGTTTTTGTTAGCTGATGATTAAGTAGCTTAGGTACTTTCAGCAAGAGTATTAAGTTGCAAACAGCTCTCCTCCGTGGCATCCTGCACCAAATGGGATCATTGCAGCAGAAATATGTTGCAACTCTCAGCCAATGTCCGCTTTATTCTCCTGCTGGAAATAATACCTTCCTTCATCCTTCAAATACCTTCACAGTACCCAGAGCATAAGTTCAGAATGCCAAGTTATACCCGAAATGAACTGCGAAACTTGACGGCCACGAGCCCATCACACGAGCCCATTACACGAGCCCATCTCACAAGCCCATTACACGAGCACATCACGGGCACGTCACACAAGCCCATCACACGAGCCAATCTCATGAGCCCATCACACGAGCCCATCTCACGAGCCCGTCCCCACAAGCCCATTCACGAGCCCGATCACGGGCACGTCACACAAGCCCATCAAACGAGCCATCTCATGAGCCATCACAACGAGCCCATCTCACGAGCCCATCCCACAAGCCCATCTCACAAGCCCATCAAACGAGCCCATCTCACGAGCCCATCACACGAGCCCATCTCACGAGCCCATCACATGAGCACATCTCACAAGCCCATCACACGAGCCCATCTCACAAGCCCATCAAACGAGCCCATCAAACGAGCCCATTACACACGAGCCCATCCACGAGCCATCCCGAGCCAGCCCACGAGCCCTCCCACGAGCCCATCCCACGAGCCCATCACACAAACCCGTCACACGAGCCGATCTCACGAACCTATGTCACGAGTCCTATCACACTAAGCCATCACACTAGCCCATTTCACGAGCCCATCACTCGAGCCCATCACACGCAGCGGTCTGTCACCTGTGCCGGTCCACCGCCGGCTGTCAGCGCGCGCCACCTTCCGGCGAGCTGCTCCACTGACCCGCCGATGGCCGCCGCCGCCAGGGAGCCGGACGCGCGCGAAGGTGGCAGGGCGCGCTGTCGGACGATGAATCGGCCGAGCGCGTGCGGCCGCGCCGACGTGGTCGACAAATCGGTCCAGGAGGGCGGCACCCTGGTAGGAGGAGGCCGACGCCATCCGGGGCGACGCGGCTCTCGGCCCCCGACCCGTCGCGGGCGGCGCCGGCTGTGACGCGGTGCGACGCGGACGGAAACGGGCGCGGACGCCCGCCTGGTCGCTGGTTTTGGTATGCGGCGTTGCCGATGATTGGGGCATAGCCCCCAACCGCCACCCACGCTCCCGCGGGCCTCTGACAAACCGGCGAGAAAAAAAAAAAACCCCTGGCGTGCGCCGTCGCAGTCTGGCGACGGTGGCGCCATCGCAGTGACCACTGACGCCCAGCTCCGTCGCCGCCGGCGCCGGCGCGGGCGGTCTCGCCTGCCCGGCGGACGCCAGCGCCCCCCGGCGGGGCGGCGCCGCGCGCGCACAGACCCTCCGGCCGGGGCCTGCGGTTGAAGGCAGGCCGTGGTGCCCGCGCAGCAGGCGGCCGTCGGGGCGCGGCGCAATCCGATGGCCTCCTGGGCGGACCGGGCCTAGCGCCGGCGGCTGGACGTGGAATCTCTCCAGCTGTGTGTTTTACGTGTGTGTGTTTGGTGTGGAGCTCCATCACTGTTGGCGCGCTCGCAGACATAGTTGAGCGCGCGCCGCCGCTGAACGCGAGTGCTTTACCGCCCGAGTCTAGTGTTGGGTGGAGGCTGTTTATGGCGCCACGGTTTTAGCTGGTAGTGACCGGGAGGACGGTAGATGGCGCCATCTACCCGCCATTCAGGACGTGGGATGGCGGGAGCTGCGAACCCACTTGGGCAATGTGTTTCGTGCGGCCGTCAGAGGATGGCAGATGGAGCCGGTACTGGCTGTGCAAGCTCAAATTGTCTGCATTCCCTGTAGCGCGCTGGGTGCGTTTTGAATCCACTACAACGCGTGGAGTGTTTTTAAACGACTGTGGATCGTGGGTGCCTTACAACGCTGACGTGCGTGCGTGTGTGTGTGCGCGTTCTTGACGTCCTTCATTGCCTCTCGCGGTGCGTGTTTTGGTGCCTGTCGTGTACAGGGGCGATGGGTTTTGTATTCCAGCGAGCCCGCGTGCTGTGGAGTGGCCGGGAGCCAGCCCGCCCTCCTGGTCACATTCGAGCATCGCGTGGTGTGGCGCGCGCGGCGGTGATCGCGGCCGCGGGCCGTTGGTGGTTTTTCGACGCGCTGTGTGGGTGGTGCCTAGCAGGATAGGGATCCGACCCGTCGCCGTTTCCGGTGCGTAATGGGTTGACATGTGCATTATTCGAAGGTCTAGCCACGCAAGCCAAGTAGGCGTTGCACAACCGCGTGAGTTGTTTGTAATAATTGCCGCAACTGTCACAAAATTGTGCCTACGAGTCGTAAAGACAAGCATCGAAGGAATTCACCGAGCTCTGGACATTTAAATTCCCCCACGCCGATCAGGCGGTCACCATTGGCCTGCGCCAGATAAGGCCGATAGGGCCGATAAGGCCGCTCTCCGATCCCGGTGCGACGGCTGGTGGAGGTGCCCTCGCAAGCGGTCATGTCTACTGCGATAGCGGCAATCGCCGCCTTATGTCTGCGGCCCACGTGACATGTGACGTCACGGGACGTCGACGTCGCGCGGCCCAACGGCGGCCAGACGTGCTGGTCCATCACCTGAGGCGAATAAACGCGACATTCATGGCGCTGTGTGTGCGGCTGGCTTCAGCCGTGCGGTTTGTCGCGACGCCTCGAGAGACGGAGGCAGACTACGAGCTTTCCTCCGCGGTCGACTTCAGCGGTGCTCTGGATTCGATCTTTCATCGATACATATACTTTGGACGTCGGTGACGCCGCCTGTAGCAATCCGAGGCGTAAATCAACCACAGTAGCCGGCGCACCGTACACCCGAATCACGGCCGAGCATCATCGACACTCAACGTACTGCACGCATTATGATCAGTTAACCAAAAAATCGTACCATCATCATCATTATACAATCATCGC